GAAAGAAGCCGGCACTTCTCAAAGGTACTGCGACCGCGAACTCTGCAAGATTTCGGCCCGAAAATACTTCAACGCATTATAATGTATGCAGGTGTGTGGCTATCGAGTGCCTGCCGGAACTAGGGTTGTAGTTCCCATCTACGCGCTGTGCCACGCACCATGGCTGTTTGACGACCCCGAGGCATTTAAGCCGGAGCGCTGGGCGAAGGACTTCGGCGGGGAGGGCTGCGATGGGGCCGCTGAATCGGGTGGCCGGGCCCGGACGTTCTGGGCCTTCAGCGATGGCCCCAGGGACTGCATCGGCCAGAGGCTGGCCATGATTGAGTTGCGCTTCATATTAGCCATCCTCATGGCGCGGTTTCAGTGGAGGTGGGCTGGCCATGGTCTTCTGTTGGATACCCAGTTGTTGCCCACTCACTGCCACTGTTTACGTTTCTGACATGCGTTGTGCATTTATGAACCTGGTGTTTGCACTCTGCGCACATTGCCACGTGGCCATTCGTTCGCTTGCCAGTTAGGAAAAATATGAGCAGGGCGGGGCGCCACACTGTGGCGGCCACAGGAGCGCGTGAACATGCCGCAAACTTGCATGGCGATCTGTGGCATGGTTGTGTGACGAAAGCTCAAAACTGGAAAGACAACATGTTGATGTGATTCACGTATTCACATCCAGCATTGCTCAACAGGCCAAAGGGGCAGTTGTTTGTCATGATGTGATGAATATAGTCATGATGATTACGATATGAGTCACTCAGTGAGGACTTGCTGTTTTTATATATCAAGAGAATGGGTGGATGCCATCCTTCTCTTGAGACACATTGCCGCAACTACGCAATAAAATGCAGGGCATTGTAGCATGTGTTTAATTATATTGTATCTAATAACAGGATAAGCAGAGTTCGGCACACTATGGCTGCCATCTTTTCTTATACTTGGGATGCTTTTGCCATTGAACAATAGTAACTGATGCATTGGATCTGCTTCTGTGACATTGCAAGCTTGGGTCAAAAGACGCCCCTTAAGGTTGGTGAGCTAACCGATGCGGTAGTTTATCCTCAGCGAGCATCCCAGTTTTCCAGTGCTGTACGGTGGGCTCGCTGATCAAAAGATCCCCAATAGCACAGTTTTCTCTGTCTGCGTTAAAGCGTTGCTTGAGTGTGCAGCTGCGTGGATCTGTTGTGAGAAACCGTGCTTGTATGGGACCAAGGCGCGCAATCTCAATAGTGGTTTTGACGCCGTTTCAAAACGGTTCAGGGAGAAACAGTTTGCAGCATGGGCTCTCAAGTCGGTCACTTGTGCGCTGGTGCTCAGGGTCGCTGCAGACATGGGCAAATGGGATGACGTCATCGCCCGGCAGTATTCTTCGCTGGTCCTGTGTGTGGACGGCGGCATGTGGCTTCATTGCGATCCGCGCTGAGTGAGGCATCAACACCGGAAATTGCATTGCCTTGTCCCTTGCTGACGGGTGTCAATTAGGGCCGCAATGCCCTGAATGGGACCTGTGTTGCCCTTTGTTACCACGCGAAAAGCGGAAGGAGGCCAGCGCCGCAGCGAGGGATCGCAAGAGTACGTGAAGCAACGTTGTTGCATCGCCAGCAAATTGCTAATCGCTGCCTTTGCGCCTTTTCATGGGCGGCCCTGGGCGTGGCCATAAAATCCAATGGGTCGTGCATTGCGGCGGCTATAGTACGGACGGTGGCATGCACACTTTTGTCGTGACACAACACGTAGAAAATCTGCTACTTCTTTGCTTGCATCTATTGGGCGATGCTGCGGCGGAAAGCATTTGTTGAGCTGGGAGCGCGGCATTGATTTTGCGACATGGTAGGAGTTGTGACATCTGCGGATCTTGGAACTGGCTGAATCTGCTCATAATGTCATTCCGTACAATACAATGTAGATACGTGTTAATCGCGTTGAATAGCTGAGGTCATAGATGGATGGCTTAAGAAGAGCGCGAAAAGGCCAGCCGTTTGTGTGGTGTTTTGAGGCATTTCGCACAAATGGCGTACCTGCGCGGCTCATGTATGCGTCCACGTTGGGACAGACCACCACGTATCTTGGCCCTAAGGGCAAGGAGACCTGTTTCACGCATTGCCAATGGCTGCAAGTTCGCATTTTGGGAGAACTTAACAAGAATATTAGGAGCCCAGATGGAGTGAGACCAGGAACAAGCTGGGGGAAACTGAGGAGCACCTGTGACAGCTCTGCACTTATACTAAAAAGTGATGGTACAATCACAGACCGGGCGCGATTAGAGAATGAGAGCAATTGGGCCCAGCCCCCTGTCAGCAGTCTGGAGGCGGCAACATCACGGCAGCGCAAGTGTTAATAAGCAATGGCGCTTGTGACAGAATGAGCATTTGTTGAAATGCGCTCATTAGCCGCACTATTTCAACTTCAGACTGGACACAAACCAAATATTTCGATCAACACCCTGGCAATTTGTGCCACAGACGAGGATCCAAATTGGAGGGCTTGAGAGCGCCTCTTTTGTAGGCACTTATGGGATTGACCCTATGCATTGGTTTCCGGGCTCGCAGGCCTGTTTGGGATTCGCAAGGCGCGTGCGCCATAGCTGGGCGCCGTATATTTTGTGTGGGCGCTTCCCAATGTGCAATTGTTGCGGTGACGTTCTCGGGCCATCCCAAGCGGTAGGTCTCATAATAAACAGCCATATCGGCGTGGATGAGGCACATGTGCCTCACTGCAAGGTCAGCTCAATATTAAACATTAGGAGACTTCACACTTAGTTCAACATAAGGACCAACAGATGGTAAGAATAATAGGCAGACTCGCCATCGCACGTTGGACACCCAAGCATTAAACTCGGCATTACCAACAGCTACTAGGAGCTGGAGTACCGGTGGCAATTGCGCCGACATGGACTGGAAACTCAAAACTTATCCTCTGTTGACCCACATCCCATCGGTGGATGAGTGAAATTACCCAAAGTTTCCAGCCGCTGATCAGTTGCGATTTGTTACAATGTGTAAAAATCCCATTTTCATTTTCTCAGATTAGGCCTCCAGCCATAGAGAAGCGGCCGGTGCGAATAGCTGAACAGACCCTGCACCGCGTCCGCACTTCAACAGATAGCCAAAATTGATGCTTGGCCCCAAAAATTTGTGAACCCACCACCGCAGGCTCCAAAGCACTTCAACTTCCATTGTGCACTCAATGTTTTTCCCCCCTTCTCCGAGCGAATTATCGAGTGCTCATCGGCGGCCAGCCCTCTTTCTTTTGGCAATTAGGAAGTCTCCGGAAAGCTCTTATTTATCCGCCCCCCAGCCCACCCCTCTCTTCCATCGTTGACAGTCCCGTCTCACACTTTCAAACTGGGGCCACCCCATACTATGTCCCTCTGTCCGCTGTCCATTGTCTCCGTGCATAACCAGCAGCGCCGCTGCTGCAATCGAGCGCCCAACGCCAAAAAGCCCCACGCCATCCTCACCCGGGCTCTTGAACGCAGCGCCACGCTTTGTGACAATAAAAGCCCCCTGCCCGCCCATCCAATACCCGCCCCTCCGACGAAAGCCCCCGCAGCTCCCCAGAAACCCGCAAGCGCCAACCCCCAATCCCAAATCAAGGCGGGGATCCTGCCGGCTCGCCCGCCGAGCAGTTGCCCACTCGAGAAGCCAGAACCCGACCAGAACACAACCTCCGGGCATGAGCGCACTCAGCGCATGGCTGCAACACATCTTCACGAAGCCACGGCGCAGTCGCTTAGCCCCTCGGGCTCACCACACATTCCCTCCCGCCGTCCATACCCCTGTCGGGCCACACTCACACGACCATCACCCTCCCATGACACCCCCCCCAAGTCGCACCGCCCCCTCTGGCCTGCATGGCAGACGGCACCCACCACGCCACGCCCATGTGGCCCAATCACTTCGCTCCTGCTCTCCCCTTCCTTCCACCGCCACAGTCAGCAGTCACGGCCTCCGGCGCCCACCACAAGGGCCAGCCGGGAGCCATGCTGGGTGCGCTCGGTGGCTCAGGAGCCCACGGCCACACCCTTGCGGCACACCGGCTGGCCGGAGGCGCCGCAGGGCGCCATCGCCTCCCCGCCCCTCCGCGGGCTGCCCCGCCCATCGAACTCGAACACGCGCTTGCGCTTGCGCGTGCGCTTGCCGCTGGCGACCGCCCGGGCCTCCTCCCTGCGGGGATCAGCAAAACATCCGCGGCTCAAAGGCTCCCCGGTCAAAATCAGGCGATCGCGCGGAAAGGAGGCCGGGCGAGCTTCGGGGCCGGCACGCCGGGAGGCGGAAAGCGCGCGTCGGGCTCGGATTTGCGGCGCCGGCTGGTGATTTCATCCACCGGCGTCCACCGTTGAGGGATCGCCTCAGGTGTCAGTGGGGCGAGGCGGGGGTTGGAGATCGGCGGTGAAGCGAGCCGCTGGAAAGCCCCTTCGCGCGGGCCGTTTTGACCCGCGGAGGGCGCGGATGGCCGGTGCGGGCGCGCGGGTGGCGTGGGCCGTTACCTTATGGCGTCCGCCATCGCCAGGTAGGCCGCGTATCTGTCCGCGCCGCCGGCCTTCCCCTCCGTCGCCTCCACCATCGACCGCAGGTCCTCGATGATTTTGAGCACGTCCGCCTGCGGCGACCGCCCCCAACCGCCGAGGCGTCAATCATCCCCCACGGCAAGCCGGAACCCCACCCCGCCAGGGTAGCAGCACCCTGGCATCGTCGCCCCCTGCCCCACCTGGATCTCCTCCTTGGACGCCTCCAGGTGGAAGATGTCGGCGAAGTCTACCGCGCCCTTGTCCCGCGGCCGACCGGCTGCCATGCCTCCCGCGGGCTTTGCTATGCGTCGCCGCGGCCAAACGCTCGCGCCAGATGCTCTCGCCGCCTTGAGCCGAAGCGATGCACTCCCCGCGAGAAGGCGGAGGCGAAAGGGAGAGCCGCGGCGGGGAAGGAGGCAAGGGGGAAGTGTTTGGTGCCCGGGGTGCGCGCACGGAAAAAGGGGCGCTGAGGCGGCAGCGCGCGGCCGAGGGGCTGGGCTCGGACCTTGTCAGGGGTGGACACGGGCGTGGAACCATGTGCCCGACGGCCTACTTCGAAGCTGATGTACAAGGAGGCCTCGCGCGGAGTTTTTTTTCCCCTTTGTTTTGGGCCGGGTGGGGCGTTCTGCGTTTCGTCGGGTGACGGCCGTGACGCCGCCTGATTCGTTGGATATGCCTCTGGAGGGCGATGGCGGGGTGGGCGTCCAACCTGATGTACAGGGAGCCCCGACGCGGAGCTTTTCTGCCCACTTTCAATGGGCGGGGTACAATGTTCTGCGTTTCGCTTGGTGACGACGGCTGTGACGCCGCTCGATTCGTTGGATCTGCCTTCGGAGGGTGATGGCGGGGAGGGCGCCATGCGCCCGGAGCCACAGCCTGTGACTTTGCATTGTGTGGCGGACCGTCGCCCAACGGGGTGGACAGTCGATGCGTCATCGGCCAGGTCGTGCATGGCGCCGGAGAGCAACCTGCCGCCGGATGTGCGGATGTTTCCGCTTGCCTTGCGCCCTTGGGCGGCTGGCCAAGGGGGGCTTAGGGCAGGAAAGCGCCAGGCACCGCCATGTGGACAGAGATATCGACGTCACGTTCTTCAAGTCGTGCAGCAACGGCAACGCACTGACTCAACGGGGCGCGACCTCCACCAAGCTTCGCGGGTGCATCGGTGGCTACGTTGTGTCTCGCAGCATGGCATGGCATTGTACCGCTGCTGATCGCACCACAAACACTGGTAGAAAACGGCGTGTTTGCGGCACCAGCTGCGATGCCATTTTGACACAAAATGATGCCATCACAGTGATTTCGATGGCACAAAAAGTGGCTGTGATGGCATCAGTTTGTGAAAAAATGGCATCGCAAGCATGCTGTTTTCTACTGGTGAAAAGGCCGTGTTGCAGCGGCTGAGTGCATCGCATGCAGGGAACTCCAGCACATTTGAGAAGTCGCCAAACGTCAACAATCAGCCAGCTGGGCGGTTGGGTGGCATTGCTGTTGGGGACGGACCACCGCTCGACGGGACGCATCCTCCGCAGCCTCCCCCTCGTTCGAAAGAAACACCCTTCCTTTGCTGTTTTCCTGGGGGCCCGACCATCCTTCTCATTTGTCCTGCGGTCGGTTCCCGAAGTGCGGTCGCCAAATGACGTTCAGAATACAATACGCAGTGAAGCAAATCCAGTCACAGCTGTACATATTTGCCACGGTTGGGCATTCGACCGCACCACATGCATAACAAACTGTCATGAACACTGCCCAGGCTTGCGGAGGGTAGCTTCTTCACAGTTGCGAATTCGTGTGGTCTCAATTTCTTTGTACCATTGCTGAAGCATACAAAGCAATGGTGCGCTCGCAAGCTCGCAGACAGCTGCATCTGTTGCGCAAGCGGGTTGAGGATTGGGGAGATGAGAAAGATTGAGAGAAAAGACAGATTGGAAAGCCCAAAATGGAGGACAAAGTTTGTTATACTGCAAGCGAAAACAGGCAATATAAAGAGCACCCCATGCTGAGCAAGTGCGTGCGCGGCTCTTTCCCATGCTCTGAGAGGATGCGAACAGGAGGGGACCTGAGCTCAGCTGCTGTTTGCGCGCCATTCATTGATACCGAGGCTGGAATACACCCTAATGTTCAGAGTACCCTATGTGCACATTCACTGTTGGGAAGAACGGAATCACGTAAGACTGCCAAGACAAGCGCTAACGCATTGAGCGGCAGTCAAGGGCAAAAACGGCTCAGCAGACCTCAATAGCGTTCGCGTTGACTCCAACGTCAGCAAAGTCCTATTTTCCTGGATATCCAAGAGGATAATGGGGTACCATATCCTGCCCCATATCCTGGAAAGGTATATTTCCACCTGACCGGTCTCCTGAACCCACCCGGTCATGTTCCCCACACGACAACACATTACAACAAAGGTGTGCATCACCAACAACTCCACATACCCGATGTCCCCGTACTTAACAGTTTGCCCTTTCGCTTCGCCCTTACTTTACTTCACGTTTCTCCCGTGACAGCAACCCTGAGTCACCCCTTCCCCGTTCTGACATCCACTCCTTCCCGTTGTCTCCCTCAACTCAACCGAACTCCACTCTCTAGGGCGGGAGGGCTGGGTGCGAAACAAGATAGGAGGGGGACCGAGGGGAGAGCCTAAATAGCCGCCCCCGCTCAGCCCCGCCAAAGCCCGCCAAGTCCAAGCCGCCAAAACGGGCGGACCCTTGGACACTCCGTACTTTGACTGACCCAAGGTACTAGGAAGGGCCAGAAACCCGTTTGAATACGATTGCGCCTGATTCGAAACTCGGCGCAACCCACCCAACGTCGTCCTGGGTGGAAATCTATTAACAGGATAGTTAATGTCATTTCCACCTGACCGGTCTCCTGAACCCACCCGGTCATGTTCCCCACACGACAACACATTACAACAAAGGTGTCCATCACCAACAACTCCACATACCCGAGGTCCCCGTACTTAACAGTTTGCCCATTCACTCTCCAAGGGCACGGGAGGCACCTCCGGGGCAGAAAATGTGCCCAAACTGGGCGTGGAGGTCGCGGGCGGTGATCGTCATCCACCCGAACAAACGAAAGTCCCACTCAGTGGGTAAACGAAAAATGTCCACGTACGACCACATGGAGTCAGACTTCCAGCCACCCCAGTCCCGAATGCGCCGCTCGGCGACCTCCAAAGCGAAGCAGCTAGACGCACCGCCGCCGCGGAGGCCATGGTGCGTGAAAGGTTCTCGAGCGATGGTCGGGTGCTTGGCCAGCAAGTCCGAAAACCAAGCGGCCACCGTCTTGGAGCTGGGGGACGCCTCGCCCGGAAGGCGGTAGAAATGGCGAGGCGCTTGGTCCGTCTGGGCCCAGGCGCGGTCGCGGAAAGCCGTCCATCGAAGAAGGAGATCCACGACCTCCGGGGCGCCTTGGGTCGGCCAGGACCGAAAACGCAATCGAGGGGCCGCATCCTTGTGCAGCTTGGATTTGCGTTCCCGAAATAAAACGACCCCGTCCGCAATCCGAATGTCCTCCGCGAGAACGAAGTGGCCCGATTGCGCCCGGTTGAAAAAGATGTAGTCGATGTACGCCGCGCACGCCGCCCGAAGGAAGGCCCCGTCTTCCGTGGTCAATCCCACGTCGAGGATGCGAATCATCACCTCGATGGGCACAGGGCGGTGATGTTGCACGGGGGCTGGCGTATCCCGGCGCCATGCGCGGGTGAGGACACGGGTGACCGGGTCGAAAGCAGAAAAGCCAAGGTGCCCAGACATATGGTGCACCATGGAGATGGCCGCGAGATACTGCGGCAAAGAACGAACGCCCACCTTGCCTTCCTCACGTAGGAACCGAATGTAGCGGTAGATGGTGGCGCGACGAGCGGGCAGCGGCTGCAAGGCATGGGCCTCGCAAAAGGCCTGGAAACGCAGGAACTTGGCCTGCATAGTCCGCCGGGTGGCCTCCGTATAGGAGGCAAGAAACTGTTGTGCCATCCAGCTCCGATCGTCCGCCAGCAAGCCATCCACTTCGGTGCCGTACAGCGGATGGTCCTCGGGGACCGGCTCCAAGGGGAAAGGATCCGAAGGAGGCTCTCCGGCGGGAGGCGCCGGAGCGTCCGGTTCGCTTAGAGCGTCTTCGCCGGTGGGGTCCGCAGGGTCGTCGGGTGCGTCCTCGGCGCCACATGGAAGGCGCGCAAATTCCAGCGCGGAGGTGGAAGGGAGGACGGGAGGCTCGGATCCCCGGGGAGAAAGAGGTTGGGCTGGCGGGGGATGAAGATCTCGGCCTGCGCCATTGCCCGGAGGCGGGGAAACCAAACCGCGCTCGGCCAGTCCGGCGCGAGCACCACTGCATCCAGTTGCGGCCTCGAGGCGAGGAAGGCGACAAGCCTCGCGAGGAGGCTCCACGGGGGATTGCACCAGCTGCGCGTCCCCGTCCAGTTCTGTGCGAAGGCGTCGACGCCCGACGTACCCACATCCCAATGTTGACTGTTGTAGGCCGCGCAGAGGGCATTCCGAGCGGATGCAAATCGGTCCACTGAACAGGCCCCGAAGCGGTGGACGACCTCCTGGAATATGCGCGGATTGAGCCGGTAGTCCTCCGAAGTCCGTATACGCGAAAGCCTGTCCGGAAGGACATTGTCCGCTGACCGAATGTACTCGGGCTCCAGGAGCAACTTCCGCGTCGCACAAATAGCTTGCAACTGGCGAAGGGGCCTCAAGAGACCGGCTGACTTGGTAGTCATCGAGTTGAGGCAGTGGAGAACCACCTGGTTGTCCACGAGCAACCGAAGCCAGCGAGAAGCGGTCCTGGGGCACCGGCGAGGAAAGAAAGACAGCAGGGCCAAGTATACGGCCTGCATTTCACGGACATTGATGTGAATGAGCTCTCGATCAAAGAATCCGCGAGCAAGAAGGGGTTGATCACCGCCCAGAGGCGTAAAAGTGGCCCCCCAGCCGGTGAGGCTGGCGTCCGTAGCTAAGGTGCCCACCAGCTCCAAGGAGGCGGAATTGAGCGACCTGCCCGCCAACCGACCGATCTGGGCCCAGGCGGCCAACTCCAAACGAGCCGCGGTGGTCAAACAGAGCCGATCTCGCCAAGAACGTTTGCCGCGCAAAAGAGAGTATAGATCCGTCAAAAAAAACCGTGCCAATGGAAAGGCCAAGTACAAGGAAATGGCGGAGCCACAGAACTTGGCCAGATCCCGAGCAACAATAAAACCCCGTCGACTAATCTCCTGGGCCCGCCGCGAAATGGCCGCAACCTTGTCCGGAGGGACCTGAAATTGGCACTGATTGGTGTCGATCATGATCCCCAGATGCTTCTTGCATTGGACCGGCTCCCACTGACACTTGGACTCCTTAAAAGCAAGGCCAAGAGTGGCAAAAACCCGGCGGACCAAACTGGACCATTGGGTGAGCCGCTGAGGATCCGACATGGCAGCAATGAAATCATCTAAATAGGCCAAAATCAGCGCGGGAAGCTCCCGCGAGTACTGGAGATAGTACTGGAGAATGGAATCCTCCCCCGCTAATCGACCAAAACGAAAACGAGTGGCAGCTTTGGGACAAGAGCTGGGGGTCCTTAAGAAACGGACCACTACCAACATGAGCTGCGTGAAATAAAAGGGGGAGAGGGCCAAGCCAAAAGGGAGCGCTCGGCAAGCAAAGGTCTCCCCACCCATGCGAAATTGAAGAAAATGCTCTTGATCCGCTCTCATCCGAATATGATGATAAGCGTTTTTGATGTCGAATCCCACCAAGTAATCATGCTTCTTCAGCAGAAATCCAAAATCGCGCAGTTTTTCATAACGAAGACCAACCTTCTTGAGATGGCGATTGATTCGCCGAAGATCGATGATGAGCCGGTATTTGGTCTTGCCATTCTCCGCCGGCTTGGCCACCAAGAAAGCGCGCGAAATCCGGGCGTCGGAAGAGGGGTTGGTCCGGACGATCGCCCCCGTCTCGAGGTACTCGTCCCGCAGTTCCCGCCATGCTCGCCATTCCTCCGGGGTCGTCAAGGGGTATTCGCCCTGATCGAAGGGGGCCGGAGGGCCCATCGGGCCCCATTGAAGGGGGGCTCCGGTGTGGATCCATTGCAAGACTCGCGAAGGCGCCCCGATGCGGCGCCACCCGGAGAGACGGCCCCGAAGACGAGCGTACGGAGGGTCCTCTAGGCGGCGGGTTTGGGGGGCTGGGCCGGAGCGTTGGGGCCCGCCTGCGGCTTGGAACTCTTGCCCTTGAAGTGGCGAGCGTTGGAGGTGGACGCGCCCGCAGGATTGGGAGCCGGAGCGGCGCGATCGAGGTTGGCCTGGTTCTTGGCGGCAGCCGACTTGGTCGCCAACTTCAACTGCTGATTGAGGACCTCCTTGCGTATGTGCTCCAGCGGCTCGTCGATCAAAGGATCCCAGAAGCGGCGATGAACGGCGCCCAGCCGAACGTTGGTCTGGAGCGCGCGCCACAACCCGTCGAGGGACGTCCCCTTGTGCTCCCCGTGCACTTGTTGGAGACGGATTAGGCTCTGCAATCTTGTCGTAATCGTCACCTGGGCGTGGAGGTACGGCAAGAGGGCGTCCCGAAAGATGGGCGGGAATTCCTGGTGCGCCGCGAAGTCGATCAAGGCGGCCGTGAGGTCGAAGAGCCACGCGACGTAGGGCGCCCAGTTCTGGTACTCCTGGAAGTAGCCGGAGTTGGTCCCCAGCGCCTGCGCGAGCTGTGCGCCTTCGGAAGTCCGCCTCACGTCGAACCACTCGGGAAAACGGACCCCCGGAGGTCGGACCACCGGGTTGGTGACTGACCGCGGAAGGAGACGGGGGTCCGGTAGCCAGACGGTGTCGAGAGAAGCCGTAGGCGGACCGTCGTTGAACCGGACGGCTTGGTCTTGAAGCCACTGCTCCGCAGGTGTCCGGTTCATAGAAAGAACTCGGCCAAGACGGCCGGGGAGGGCAAGGCACTCGGTGCCTTCGGGTTGTGCCAACAAGTGGCGCGAAGCGAAACAAGATAGGAGGGGGACCGAGGGGAGAGCCTAAATAGCCGCCCCCGCTCAGCCCCGCCAAAGCCCGCCAAGTCCAAGCCGCCAAAGCGGGCGGACCCTTGGACACTCCGTACTTTGACTGACCCAAGGTACTAGGAAGGGCCAGAAACCCGTTTGAATACGATTGCGCCTGATTCGAAACTCGGCGCAACCCACCCAACGTCGTCCTGGGTGGAAATCTATTAACAAGATAGTTAATGTCATGTACATGACATGCAACTTTCTTATGACAAAAGTAGGAACCATTTTGCGCTTCAAAAGACGTCTTTTGCGGTCCTTTCAGACTGTCATTTTTTGAATGGCGACAGCCACCCAAAATCCCTCTACTTAAGGACGTGCCACATAGTCTCACCATTGCGGTCACCCGGCTGCATATTGACACCAGAACGCAGCATGTCCACATCGCAGCGCTTCCTCTCCACACCATTTTTTTTGGAAACGTGTACCCCGTCAATACTTTAAAAGGCACTGAGGGCTTTGGGGTCACGACTTTCGGCAACTGCTACCTTGCAAGCCACATCGTCCTTTGCAACACGCAAATTCCTATCTGCATAATGAGTGGGGGCTAGTTCAGGGCTAGTATCTGCATAATGAATGGGGTCTAGGTCTTGTAATGCTGGTCGACAATTATGAGTCTGGGAGTTTCCCAGTACTATCAACGCGATTCTGCTAAATAACAGCGGCTGCAGAGAACTTCTAACTCGGCACACACTGCAACAAAAGTGTGTGCATGTGCAGCTGGTGCACCCGAATGGTCCATTCGAGCGAGCACGCTTGCGAAAGCAATGCATAAATTACAATTCCAAGTAACAGAAGAATACTCCCATTCCGTAAACCATTTGTCATCGTCCTTTGTGGCTTTTCAAATCTGCTATCTACAACTGCGACCAATCTTCCCCGAGCCGGTCAAACACAGACACCCACAGAAGCCGACGCCTGGACACCGCCGACTTCGCCATCCCGATCCCGTCGCTGGTGACCGCAACGTAACGTCGGGCGATGCCCCCGCGACGCCGCATGACGTCACCTTTTTGCGGCTTCTGCCAATTGTTGTGAGGTCACTGTAGACCGCCAGCAGAGGGACGCTGTTTTGACAATCTGAGTTCAGCAGAGACACGCGACACAACCAGTTTGTCGATTTCTCAGGTAGCCTGCAAAGGATTTCATTCACCTTTTGTGGTGCACCTCGGCCAGGCCGTACACCGGCGTGGGGATGCCCTCAAACCGGGCCTTGATCTGCAGCGCCAGGTAGCGCGAGTAGGTGCGCGACAGCGCCAGCATGCCCGCGTGTATCCAGAGCCCCGGCTGCCGGGTGGGCTTCCACATGTTGCGCAGCTCGCCCTCCCAGGGCCCCGGGTCCCCGTCCAGCCCCGACCCCATTCCCCACACCCTGCCTATTCTATCCGCCACGCCCTGCCCCAACAGCTTGGCCACCACCTCCGACATGTTGCCATATCCGGTGGCGTATACGACCAGATCCGCGGGGAGTCTGGTACCGTCATTCAGCACCAGGGCGTCCGCCTCGGCATTACTAATCTCCACGCCGCTCTTCAGCCGCACCTTGCCGCTGGCGATCAGCTCGGAGTTGCCGGTGTCGATTAGCGATCCGGCGGCGCGCCTCAGGTACCGCATCGGCATGCCTGAGCCGTCGGGTCCGAACGTCAGCAGGAAGCCGGCCTTGGAAAGCCCGTCGTAGAACTCTGCGTTCGCGGCCCTGATCTCGTCGAAGAGGACTTTTGACCTGCCAGGCATGAATCAGCCAGTCAACGCGCCGCACATTTAGGGAGTTTAGGAAGCAACAGCTTCCTGCAATCTCCCCACAATACTGGAAGAATAAGTTCATTCCACACCGTTTTGCCACAATAATGTCACAATCTTAATCACTAGCGTGACAATATTTGCTGGGCTTGATTCGTAAAAGGCCGATTTTATCCGATTTTCAATAGATCCATGAACAGATATAACCTCTAAATACCCTTTCAACAGAAAGCCGCACAAGTTTGGTACTCCAAAGTACTAAGTCGTTTATCAGTTACAGCTGGAAGAATTCTTGTACCATTGTTCCCCCAGAATCCGTCGGTAGCATCCTGGCAATGCGCCCCAAAACACGGAAAGACGTGCTCCTTCCCAGCGGCGACAAAAGGCCAAGCCGATACCTGGCGGGCATAAGTCGGTACGGCACGGTGGACTGCGCGAAGTCTGCCATCTCATGCGTCACGCCCGCCTCCACCGCCTCCTCCGAGTACCACTTCCCCAGCATGCGGCCCGTCAGCGTCTGGGACTGCACTACCAGGGTGGCCGACCTCTGCACCATGGTCACCTGGGCCCCGTGGGCCCACAGGTCGCCGCAGATGTCCAGCGCCGAGTTGCCCGCCCCCACAACGACGCAACGCTTGCCCTCCCAGCCCTTCCCGCTGCTGAACTCGCTGGAGTGCTGCTGCAGGCCAACAAAGGTGGCCGCGCCCGGCACTTCTGGAACCTTTGGCGCCCCAGAAAGCCCCGTGGCCAGCACCACGTGCGTCGGATAAACTTTCACCTCCTTCCCCTCCCTGTTCAATGTCACGGTCCACCGCTGGCCCTCCTCGTCGTACACCGCGTTCCTGCACTCCGTGCTCCCCCAGTAGTTCAGGCCCATGACCGTGGCGTAGGCCTCCAGCCAGTCTCCCATCCTGTCCTTGGTGGAGAACACTGGCCAGTGGTCGGGGAAGGGCATGTACGGCAGGTGGTCCGCGTGCACGGGGTCGTGGGTCACCAGGCAGGCGTAGCGCCGCCGCCAGGCGTCGCCCGGCCTCTCCAGCCGGTCCACCACGAGGACGGGCACGCCCAGTACTCCCAGCCTCGCCCCCACGGTGATTCCCCCCTGGCCACCCCCCACCACCAAACAGTAAGGCTGCCAACCAGGATCCCCAACCTCCCCCACCGACTTTGTCCCCGCCGCTGTGCATCTGCCAGTCTCCCGCCTCCTCCCCCGCCTCTCCTCGTGGCCGATCAATTCATCCATGGTCGTCGTCAGCGTCCAGCACCGCCCTCCTCTCAGCCTGACGTGCCCCTTGCACCTCGCCGCACCCGTCTCGAAATTGAATCGCCCCTCCACGACGCCCTCCGCGGATTCAATCGCGTCTCCCTCCGCCGCCCATCCCCTCGGCGATGCCGCCGGCAGTGTGGCGGTCAGCATGGCCGCCACGGCGTCGCGGCCCTCCAGCGTCACCAGGTTCCATGTGAAGGCCACAAGGTCGCGCCAGTAGCACTCGTCCGCGAAGAGGGAGGCCGCGGCGTCGACATCGCGCCTCTCGAGCGCGGAGGCGAATGCATCCAGCCAGGCGCGGCGCTGCTCCTCGTGGGTCGGCGCGGACATGGCGCCCGGTTGGCGCCAGCCTGTGCGCATCAACAGGCACAGATCAGTCCCCCGCGCAGCACTCCCTCGCACAAGATTCTCACATCCACAGGCGGATCAACGCCCCGCGGTGGGCACTCCCTCTCAACACAATCTCCCGTCCACAGGCACAGGCGTAGCAATCCCTCGCACAGCATTCTCTCTCATATCGATCTCCCATCCTTGGGCGAGCCGAATGCGCGGGAGTCCCGGGCAGTGTCGCCGCTGGCTGCCCTCAACGCCCCGCATGTCAGTTTCTCTCTGAACCAGCCTCTCCTTGGGTCAGATGAACGGGAGAGAATCCCGTGCAGTTTTCCGTTGCCTGCTGCCGCGACTGTGACTTTTGCAGATTGTCCCCGAAATTGGATCGACGCTGTAATCTCGGGGTGCTGCTGGGGCCGCTGGTGGCTCCGCAGGGACGTTTGGGTCAGCACACCGCCCCAGGAACAGTTGACTTTGCCTCGCCCGTGGCCACTGTTGGCACGGCACACAGCCGATGGTCCGGCACACAGCCGATGGTCCGGCACCGAGGTCTGATTCGCAAAGGAATCAGTCGCCGGCAACGCAACACGGGGTGATCCAGCCTCTTGACCCTGGCGCACGGGTCTCTGTCAGCACAGCAAAGTTCCGCCGTGCGCCATTTCCAGCGAGAAGCTCTGCTCAGGCCCAGGCGTTGCTGAGGCAAGGGATGGAATGGGTGCCAAACTCCCCGAGGCACAATGTTCCCTTCTCTCCTCGGCAGCACCGCGTTCAAATCAGGCGCCATCATCCCATTGGCCCCAGACCCGAGTCCCCAGGCGGCTTCCCATCGCGGCCAGCCGATCAGATTCCCAGGAGATGGCCAACTCCTCGCCTTGTTGCCAGGCGTGCCCAGACGCTTGAACCGAGCCGTCTGCCGGCCCCCAACTGCCCTGTCCGGTTCAGGAACGGCGCTCCAGCACAAAATCAACAGCGCCCAGCACACCCTCCGAATGACCGTCGGGGTTCCGGCACCTCCGGCAGCAACGGTCACGTCAGGTCGTCCCAGGCACACGCCAGTTGCGCCCATCCCTAGGTCGATGCCCATTTGCCAATTCAGGCATCCCGATCGGTGCTCAAGCCGCCCCTCCACACACCTGAGGAGCTCCCTGTCCACCTTCCGCTGGTCCGGAGAGCCAAGCGGCCGAGGGTCGTTCGAAGGGTGATGGGCGTCCGGCCGTGCGTGCGGGCCCTCTTGTGGGCGAGCGGATGGCAGCAGGGAGGCGCGCCAACGTTGGTGGATGAGTACTTTAGTGAACATTAGCTGGAGGCTGCGACATGCTCAGAGTGTTGGTAGATACACCAGGTCAGCGGAAGTAAGCACGCTCGAACGTTCCGTTAACAGGACAAGCAAGTGACACGGTACACACGGAAGTGGTTGGGTGCGGCACCCACCTGGGAGCTTTGTTTTTTCCGGGAAGCATCCTTCTTGGTTTCGGAAAACCTAAACCCTGAAACCACCGACCCACTGACCGGCGTTCGCCTTGTCAGCAGAAGAAGAAGCGATCTTCACTGACAAGACAGAGCGACTTATACACTAGCATTTTGCTGGTGCATATTTATATATTAGCGATAGTATTATACTGGTACACCAGTATATTCTTTGGGTGGGGTGGTGCTCAGCCGTGATGGACAACGCGAAACGAGCGCTGGCATGGCCAACCAGGCCAGTTTCGCTCTGCACATTTTGACACTTTCGTTTTTGCTTGCCCAACCCGCATTTGGTCATTGAAGTCTCCGGCAAAAGTCCCACACACTGCTGGACTGTCTTCCCTTCTGTTTAGAACAACAACCACCGTGGGACTGTGTACTTTAGCAACAGAGCCGCTGCACGGAAAACCACGAGACTTGTGTGGCGTTTTACGAATCACCCCTGCGAAGGTTGGTACTTTTTCGTTAATACATTTGCATAATCTAATTATAGCCTTCGGGTCTCTATCAGAACGATGGCTGTATCCATAGTGGATAAACGGTGAAATGGGAAGATGTGTGATGCCCAGGCGTTGCTAGGATTGACGTGATAAATCTGTGAAGATGTGCCGGACCTCCGCTTCGGAGAACAAGGACACAATGGTGTGGCCCTGAAGATGAGCTGTACCAATGCTACGACATTAATGAGAAGTGAGCCTGAAGATTACTACAGAAGACGTGCCCGATGTTTGCTGCCGATGGCTGTGCCATTTGAGGGCGAGCCAGATGACTAGATGACGTACCTTTGCCTTGAAGATGCGCTGTGAGTGTTTTTGGTGGAGACACATATGAGAATGAGCCTTGATGACAAGCCATGCTCCCTTTGATGAACAGCTGCGCTCTCTTAATGATTTACATGCAGCCTGGCCGTTACCACGAGGGATGGTGGTTACCATGGTGTCGCACAAGCAAGTACTGTATACAGTACTGTATACAGTGCTTCCTACGTAGGAAGCACTGAGCCTTATAGCACATATTCCCGGAAAAGGGTGAGTGGCTGTTACCACGGGGCTTCGGAGTGGCATTGGCAGCTACCCCAACAAGGCGTGGTGACAGAGGCATGGCATGGTAGGGCAACGGGTTCGGCAGCCAAGGTAACGATGCGGGTAGCAGTGGGGGCTCTCTCTGTAGGCGCTGAATGGCTTAAGCACTAAAGTACTAGAACTTGAGTGGTGTGGGTGGTCGTTTGGTACGCGGGCATACGTGTGTGGTACTGTGCTTCACGGGTAACGATGCTAGGGCAACGGGAAGTGGTATATTTGAACATGCTAAATATGGAACGGCGTCACCAAGGCATAGAGTACTGAGGGAAACGGTAGTAGCGAGTGTGACCGAACTGGGACTATACTTAGACGTGGGGAATCACTACCATGCGGGTTATTGTCGCAGGGAAACGTTACCGAAGGGACACCTGGCAGCGGGCACTTGGTGGGAAGTTGTGCGATGAGATCTGCGGGGTAATGATCGTTGGAGGTTTCTTGGTAACGGCACTTTGCCGGTTAGAAGAACCCGCGCCTGGAATATATACGGACGCACGGCTTCACTTGTAACGAACACGAACCTTGGGGGCCCACTTCGTTGTTCTCTGCGCGTACTCGGAGACTGTGCCCCGCCTGGCTGATTGCAATGCCGTGCTGAAGTCGCCTATTGAAGGCGCACTTTCGCCATGGAGTCCAGCGCGTTTGGGCGATCGTTTGGATTCATGCTGACGAAGGCAGGCAGGATCGAGGGGTGGCGATGCCTGAATGGGAATCGTACTCTCGAGTCCACGGCAGCGGTTTACAGCGGAGGCGAAAGGACAACAGGCGTTCTGTCCTTTTTATTCAGTCCGCTTCATCAACGTTATCAATGCATTTCCTAGTGCTTCATCATCTATTCAGGCATTTAGTTGCTAATAATACTCAATCAGCTTTAGTTGCAACTATGCGTGGCCGGTCCTCGACTGGAAGATTGGTCATCCGAACGCCTTTTTACGCGGTGGCACAAGTCACGGCACACTTCCGGTGTGAACGGGAAAGAAACTGGTGCCTTAAAGTACGAAGTTCGAAGCCCGCGTGATGTCTCTGGCGGTGCTGTTGTCGGATGGGGAGCCTTCGTCCTGTAACGGGGGCCCCTCCTGGTGCACCCCAGGCAAAATGGGGTGGATGGTGACATCCAACACGATAGCAATATGTCTTGGGTACCTACTACTGTACTTGTACTTCATGCGGTGCGTGTTTATGCGGCTGTCGAAGAACAGCTGCCTCCAGCACAGATGGGCCAACGTCTCAATCCGATTCAATTTTCGGATGGTCGGCATCGTGTTGCTGTTCGATGTGCTGTCGATTTCGCTGCTGTGGTTCACCCGCCCGAGCTCGTGTCTCAGCTATATGATTGCAAGCTGTGGCTTCGCTCCATGGCAGTTTGCCCTCACATTTTTGATGGTGGCGCACACTGTGGTCTCGGTGCCTGCAAGGACTGGGCACAAGGCACCAACAAGGGGTGTCCTTTCTTCAGACTTCATTTGGCTGGAGAGGGAAACAGGGTCCTTTTGACGTCACATTTTGGGGGGGAGATCCTTAGTCTACATTCTCGTGTAATACATTGGAATTCAAAAAAAAATACCCAGCTTAACCAGCATATATGCTATATAGCCGAACCCACCTTGGTCTTAACCGTGACCCGCGCGCCCCTGGAAACCACCGGGCATTTAGCCAGAGTTGTACCCAGGTTTTGCTCACCGATGGGAGCAACCAGGAGGGGGTACCTGGGCCCCCTGGCGGGTTCTGGGGGCCCTCTCCCGCGTGGCGGGCCGGCTGCCGCGCCGCCTCGCGGGCAGCAGTGAGCTGCGCCGCCGGAACCCGTGCAGAATCGTTCATCGCATCTTGACCATCCTTTTCAGGCATCCGGCAACCCTCTCCTGCCGTCCGGCCCAATGGGGCCACCTCAATGCAGTCCGGCCGGCGAAGATTGGGACGCCCCGGAGGCGGAGATCCCGCCAGAGGCATCCTGGCCGCTGGCGGGCCTGCCTGACGCGACCATGAAGCGCCTGTTCAAGGTGGTGTACTCGGCGGTGCTGGCCGCCGCTACAATTGTGACGGGGCTCTTCGTGCTGAAGATGACGAGGGAGTTTGATCGGGTGGAGGACACGAGGCCGGTGGGGATCGTCACCACTATGATCGCCGCCATCGACGTGGCGCTGTTGGGAGGATGCGCGGTGGCGTTTGGGTGGAGGGTGAGATCGGCGATGAGGGCTGGGCTGGCTTGGGGCCGGCGCAGGTGGCGCAGGACGGGCCTGTTCTGCGCGCAGCTGGCGTGCGTATTCATGGGCAACCTCTTCTTCCTTGTGCCAAACTTGTACGCGGCGACGGTCAGGTGCGGCTACTTCGCCCACCTGCACAACTACTCGGGGATGATCCGCTGGACGGCGCTGAACACACTGCTGGCCCTGCTCGTGGTGGAGGCCAGGACGTTCGTTTTGACGGTGGACGGGCTTGGGCACCCGTTGGGCGGGG